TCTGTAAATCTAGAAAAGCTATGCTATGTGGTAATATGAGCGTTTTATCCATATCTTTAATCAGAATCATCAGTGCAGCCATCGCAAGTTCAGTAATTTTCAGCCATAAATTACCTGATTTCTGTTTTTTTTTTATTCCAACATTTCATGACCAAACATGGCGACGGCACACTCAAGTTATATCAACTTATTTTATGTCGCCACCAGTACAAATACAGGACAGGACAATAATTATTTTCACTTGAGTTAAGTGAGAAAAGTCGTGTAAAGTGCCTTTCCCAAGGGCACAAGATCGGTGGCTTGACAGGACTCTAACCCAGAACCTCTTGGTTCGGAGTCGAGCACTCTGCCGCTACGCCACACGACTTCACAGTCTGAGCATCTGCCGGGTACATGCCGGAGGCCGACCAAGGAGGGAGCCCTTGGGACCCCTGCAGGGCAGCGTGAATGTAATTTTTAATTGTGACCGCGTCAGCCGGTGCCCAGCAGACCCCAGAGCCGGATCGGGGCTGCATTTCCGACAGGCACCGGCGCAATTGGGACCGAAGCTTTAGTGGAATGCACCGGTGTGGAATGGGGGTATAAGTGGAAAGCAGTGAAAATGTAAAACAAAGAGACGACTACGCTGCTTCAGAACACATGTCTCTAGCAAATAAATCGAAAATGTCCCTTTTGTTTCGAAGTATTTTCTATGATCTATATATTTAAAAACACATGTGGTACTTAAACTTGTATTCAACATTTTCATAATTGTATATCTGTTTATCCAAGATTTTAAAGTCGTTTCATCTATGAAACTTAAAAATGCTTCAAAATGAATGTACTGTGAAATTAATTCAGACATTTGACTATCTGCCACATGCAGATTTTCACTTTACGAATGTCAAAGGATGGTCCAATTTGGTTAACACCGGGAAAATCAGAAGGAAAATTTCAACAATGGCAACATCCTTCACTCATGCCCATGGCATTAGACAACCGCTTACACTAAGTACCCAAAGTATAACATGGATTGCCAGTTTGCGCCACTGTAACAAAATTTGAGGGGAAGAATCATTTTTCTTTTTTTTCTTTTTATGTACTCATTTTTTTTCTTTTAGTGCTTCATATACTCTTAGCTTTTAAAGATTTTGATAGGAGAAAATTTAAAAACAGTCTTTTAGTGGAAGGAAGATGATAGTTTTTTACCTTTATTCCAATGTCGTCTCGCTTGTACCTCTGAGTTTGGCGCGTCGAGGGCTGACTGGCTGCAGAATTGCTTCCTCTTGCCTGGCTGGCAGTCAGAAGTGTAAGGTCCGCTGACAGACTGGCTCTTTATGAACCTCTAGTACCTGGCTTTGCGTTACTGACGAGATTACCCAAGATAAACTCTTGGCAACAGCAAAAAACATTCGCAAGTTTATCTTGTTTGAAAGATCCATGACCATACCCCCTGCTGTAAAACAAACAAAAGTTTTAAGGTATCCACGACAAAGGGTTGTATTTCACATTAAATAACCTGATTCAGCTTTTCAAATGTAAACTTTCCCCTAGCCTTATCAGCACTAGTGCCCAATATAGATTTCAAAGCTGTGAACCGAACATCTTGCTGTTGGCCAGCAACATCGCTAAACTGGAAAGCAAGTTCAACAGCAATTAACTTTCTTATTAGTTCTCATAAATTCTATTTCAATTATATTTTATTCTAAATGTGGTCAGACCACCGCATGTTCAGCATCGGTCACAGATATTCTGTGAGTGTGTAAATTGAACCCGGTGGTAGACCAACTTTCGCGCGCTCGTCAAAACCCAGGCAAGCCCAGACAAGCAGGTTAATTACCAGGTTACTATTTTTGTATTTTTTTTTAGGAACGCGATGTATCAGCATTTGCAAAGAAAAACTATGAGTCATGAGCTAGTTACTTTCGTTGAAAACATATTGTAATCTCCCTCCATTTGTTACAAGAAATAGTTCAGCATAAAAAAACTGGACTCTGACAGTAAAAAGTGCTGACCACGTTTTCACCCGTATGGTATATATTCCTTGTTCTTTTAACGGCGCTGCTTATTGTTTAAGAATGTCAATCAGCTGCCGCAACAGCAATGACTGATTACTTTTTTATATGTCATCAATCAAGTTTATTGGAAAGACCGTCGTAAAGGACATGAAGGAAACTCGGCGTGCAACTCCAAATATGTTATAAATCATAAGTAAAGCTTTACGCTTGTCCTAGGAGTAAATATAATAAGTAGGATGGTCTCTTATCATGTCTGGACTGAACCATCGCCATGCCCTTCGTCAATAATTCGTATATTAGGTTTTCCTTCTTTGCTGACAATGAAACTCAGCAAGAGCTTCGCGTCTTTTTACTCAACACTGTACATTTGACACTTATCGTTTGAGTCGACCATGGCCTCCCCACAAATTCCAACCTTCCCCAGACTATGCTTTTATACGGTGAGTGCCGTCATCTGAGATTGACAGTTGGTTTGGGAGGATACTAGTACATGGCTTAAACCCTTGATTTTATAATTATCTTCGCCAAGAAGGTTATGTTTTCAGAGGCGTTCGTGTATGTGTGTGTCCGTCCGTCTGTCTGTAAACATTATAACTTGAGAAGGCTTAAATGGATTGTTTTGATACTTGGTAGGTGGGTAGGTCTTGATGAGACCTAGAAATTGTTAGATTTTGGACCCCCTAGCGGCTTGTTATGGTACTGCAACTGAACTTCCGGTTTTGATATCTCATGATCTAGACATGCTATGGTGACGAAATTTGGATGGAAGGTAGCTCTTGTGCTGGGGAAGAAGTGACGTGAGTTTGGGCCCCCTAGAGGCTTGCTCTGGAACTGCAGGGCTATCTGTTTGAAAATATTTAAAAGAGGATAACTCAAGAACCGTTTGACGGATCGTCGTTATTTTTAGTATGTAGGTAGCTTGCGTGATGCTTGATATAATTATTATAAATATGGATATAATTTGCCAAATTTATGGAGAAATTATTTAACTCAGCTGCTTTCCATGATAGGACTATTGAAGTCTGTGACATTGGTAATTGAGAACGAGAGAAACACAGGCAGATATTGATTATGTAAATAAAGACTTAATTTGCATAATTAATGAGAAACTGTCATAATTATGTAATGATAACTGCCTGGAACTTTATAGTTGTGGTATTTGAAAGTTCAGTGAATGTGAATATAATAAAACATAATGTATTCAAATCAGGACCTCATTTGCAGAATTTATTAGAAAATGCTAGAATGGCATTGTTTGTTAACATAAGACTGTCTTTTGGTTGAGAGTATGATAAACTGATGTAATTCATGAAAATGAGCATCCTATTTGTTAAATCAGGTGGAATAATCTATAATTTGTCAGTCATAAAGATTAAGATCATTTGGCTAAGGTATGATATCGGGGAACTCTAGTTTAAATATGTTTTAGGATGTACAAGAATGACTAGAAAAACAATAAAACAATCAAAACTTTCATAAAATTTCATTCTCTATTTCCGTAACGAAATCACTGGTCGACCATAGACGTTACTGGCGTTTGAGTTTTTGGACGCGCAGAGAGCACAGAAAGGTCGCCGGAGAGATTCCATTTAAACACGTTTTTCGTAAAATTTTGGCGCTCTCACCGCGTTCTGGCTCAGTCGCAGAGAGAGCGCGACAAAAGCGCCAAACTCCACGAAAGACGTGCCCAAATATAATCACTCCGGCGACCCCTCTACGCTCTCTGAGCGTCCAAAAACTGCCTTTAACGTTTATACCCCCATTCCTCTTATCGCGCTGTCACGGCGATCTCCCCGCGACCTCAAATTGGCAAGAGCGCGGAGAGGGCATCAAGTTTGCTATGAGAGCGCGATAAGAGCGCCATGGGCGCCATAAGCTCCGTCACCTCGGCGATGGTAAGGCCCCCATTCCACTTAGTGGCGCTCTCACCGCATCATACCATCGCCGTGAGAGCGCCGAGGACGGCCATGCAACAATGGGCACCGTGAGAGCGCGAAGCGAGCGCCATGAGAGGGCACAACGGCCCCAACATTAATTTAGATATACCCCATTCCACTTCGACAACGAAGTATGACTGTTGACTAGCAAAATTCGTTCTCTATTTCCGCAATTTGTTCACTGAGCAGTGAAATCGTTGGTCGTGACCAAGTTGCTTACATGTGAGTTTTTGGTCGCGCAGAGAGTGCAGAGAGGTTGCCGTTGAGATTTTACTAGAGCAATTTTTTTATGGAGTTCCCGGCGATTTGGCCAATTTCAGGTCGCATACAGAGCGCCGTCTTGGTGGAATACGGGCTTTAGCGGCGCATAAAGTATACCAAAAATGTTCTGAAACCAATATAGAAAAATATAAAGAGCAAAGCCTTAAAAATTTAAGGCAGTAGCTTCACAGATTTCAACACTTCAACAACTTCAAAGCTTCACAGATTTTAACATGTTCCGTGCTCGTAAGCGTAATGACCTTGAAATTAACCTATAGGTTGACCCTTTTTTCACCCCGAAAATATAAATAGCTGCTGCCGTACTTTTGTTGTTTGATCGATGGCTTGATTGCTTGCTTGGCGAAGTATAAAAATGTCAGAAACCGCCACATTGGCAATTACTGATTGCTTTATTTGGGGGGTAATAAAATTCTTATTGTAAAAACGATCTTAAATATCCTACCACACGGCAAGACAGGCCATTCAACATTAAGGTGCTTTCTTTCTAACAAACAATGTAATCTAGTCGTTGCGTTACTTGGACATTTTACCTGGTCCTGTTACTTAGACTACCTAGCGATTGACTACAATAGCAAGGGCACCCCACGAGACAAAACAGTTACTTATTAGGTTCAGATGTCTGAAGACTGATATTTGTTTTGCGGGCTAGTCAAATAACAACGTTTGCATGGCAATAGCTCGGCTTGTCCCAAGAACAAATAAGGCTCACCACTTACCTACTGAACGTGCGGAATTCTGTAGTTCACTAGTTTTACCATATGTACATCGTGCCTCTTACGTCAAAATGGCGAATCTATCGGCAGTTGGGATGTTACCGTTTTTTACTGTTCTGACTGTTTTGTCTGGGACCGTTGAGGGATTTCTACCAAACAGGCTGAGTACGCTCTATACCTTGAACGCCAACGACTACACTCATGAGGAAATAACCCAGATCGGAGTTCTAAAAGCTGCAGCCAAGTTTTTAGAAGACAACCCGCCAAGTGGGATGTCCTTTACCCCAGGGCAACTTCAGAATTTGGATCCGTTCAACCCAACGACGCTTTTCACAGCCTATTATGGAGGTATGAAATCACATTTCACAGTCATAAATTGTGTCAACATTACTTTTAACAAAAACATTGCAAATTAGACAATATCAAAATTTTTCTTTATACGTCAATTGTGACCTACATTTTGTATGTACACGTTCTTTCACAAGGTTATCAAATGTCTTGCTCTAAACCACTTATAAGCCATCAGGCGCAGCCCTATCTAGAATCAACATCATTTGTAACATTTATGTCACCTAGCCTTTGCCGTAGATTTTTTTATAGATCAAAGAGCTCGTTACCGGACCATTTGTACATGTTACGGGTGCGGCCGAAATTTGATCGTCAATCAAAATATCCGACGATTCTCGATCATTTTTCACCTTCGCAAATGCCCCATAGAGGGACTTGCGAAGTATTCATATGTTAGGGTAGGATTGTGCCAAACCTGGTTCGATTTCACGAGCTTCACATAGTACTCTGACGGTCCTATCCCGTATCTCGCCCGACTTGTGCAAATTTAGTTAAGTCGTGATATTGAGTGATCTAGTGAGCTTTGTGCTAGTGTCGGGAGAAGACTTTACGAACCTTGGTCGAGTTACTCTCAACTCATTAATTTGCTACCTGTGTAAAACATGTAACATATATTTTAAGTTGGTAGTTGCAACATGACATGCTGTTTGAAGTATGCAGTGTCAACTCCTGATTATTGTTAACGGTTTATAAAGGAAATATACATTGTTAAAATTGTGGCTTTTTGGAATTTTGTTAAATAAACATAGTTGTGTTGGCAATTCGTGTTTTAAAATGATTATCGACGTTTTGTATGATTATATCGGCTTGATTTTATGGGTTGACTTGACGCAAGAGAGCGAACAAACAAAAATGCCTGTAGATTTTGAAATTAATAATAATATCTATTCTTGTTCTATTAGGAGGAAAGTTGTTGTCAGAAGATGATGTAACAATCCCACTTGTGTCATAGTATTTCCACAGGAAACATGATATGGTAGAAAGAAAATAGTATTTACTAGTGGAATTCAGCATCCGGATTTCAGAACAAAGTATATATGCGGGCAAAACTTTAAAACTTAAAAAGTACATATTGCTGTATATCTTGTTGGTTTTGAACATGTGCATGTGCATAAAAAAAGATGCAAAGGTAAAATTTTGACTGTAGTTTTTTAACCAGAGAAAGTTGATGCACGCATGGGTGCATAAAATCGTGACCTAAATAAAGATGATTTCATTGCAGGTTAAACTTCATAGAAAATGATCAGAATTTGTATGTTTTAAATGTAAATACTAGTATGTGGCCCAGATGTTATGCGAGCATCGATATGTCATCGACCAAAACATGAACGTCGCAAGCCCGTGTGTCAAACGAGTTTCGGCTGACTCCCAGAAATGTTTTTAAAAAACCTGGACTGGGGCCACGATTGGAATAGTTGGTCGGGTGGCATGTAGATAGCTATTGTTGTCGGGAAGAAAAGACGTAAGTTTATGCCTCGTAGCATGTAGCTTGTTCTGGAAGTGCAGAGGCATTTGTTCAAGAATATTTGAAGGAGGATAACTCAAGAGTTGCTTAACGAATCATTGTGATTTTAAAAAAAAAGTGGTTAGTTTAGGTAATGCGTGACATAATTTGATGGTAATTATGCAAATTGATGTCGATTTGAGTTTGAAAGTTTGATTTGAATCAGAGTTATATGAAACAGAGTAGTCATAACGGTTAAGTATGCATGTATGCAAGGAAGCAGGTGTAGACAATTAAGAGGCAAGGATTATTCATCACTTCATATAAGAACTTTAATTTCAGGGGTTTGATTGAGTAATACGTGCGTAAACCATTACATTAAAACTAAAGGTGCACTTTGATCACTTTATAGTCGAAGTGAATTACAATTCTAATCTCTCTCAGAAAAAATCCAGATTCTCGTAGAACAGTTCAGAATTTCAATCTCCCCTAGGGCAGAATGGAATTCTACTTGGAATTATAATGCTATATTACTACATACTAACAATAATTAGTATATAGCATTTTCTTGGCATGTGCATGTTTGTAAGACTTAGTGCATGTAAAATGATCTCTTTTGTGTTGTTTAAAATTTTGAACAAGGCAACATGTAGAGATTAAGGTTGCAGTCAGTAATGGTTAGTATGCAGCACATTTTAGTGTGTGTGTGCGCCCGCGTCTGTGTGTAGATGTGTGTGTGTGTGTGTGTGTGTGTGTGTGTCTGTGTGTGTGTGTCTCTCTCTCTGTGTGTGTGTGTGTGTGTGTGTCTCTCTCTCTCTCTGTGTGTCTGTGTGTGTGTGTGTGTGTGTGTGTGTCTGTGTGTGTGTCTGTGTGTGTGTGTATGTGTGACGGTGTGTGTGTGTGTCTGTGTGTGTGTGACTGTGTGTGTCTGTGTGTGTGTGTATGTGTGTGTCTGTGTGTGTGTCTGTGTGTGACTGTGTGTGTGTGTGTGTGTGTGTCTGTGTGTGTGTCTGTGTGTGTCTGTGTGTGTGTGTATGTGTGTGTCTGTGTGTGTGTCTGTGTGTGACTGTGTGTGTGTGTGTGTATGTGTCTGTCTGTCTGTCTGTGTGTGTTTGTGTGTGTGTGTGTGTGTGTGTGTCCGTGTCTGTGTGATGAAGCTATGTAACAATTTTACAGAGGTGACTTCAGCAGCTAAACTCCAGTCGGCGATAACAGAGATCATTGATGCAAACTCACGGGTGGACAGTGACTACCTGTCTAACGCAGAATACCACGTTAGCGGAGAAGAAATTCAAGCAGGTGATTCTACAATTTATATTTCATATGTACCAATGATGTACACTCACATACATGCTTTCCTACCTGCCTGTCTACATCTAAGGAAAGTCATTTGCCCTTCCTTTTTTTCTTAATGTCGGATTGAAAGGGAGCATGGTAGTGGCATGATATTAAAATCATACCAAGTCCGTAAAAATTCGTAAAGATGGTGAATAAATGAATAGCAAGATTCTTTATTTACAGCCACCTGTTTATAGCAAGATCCGACGTTTAGATGCCTGTCTGACATCTTCATTAGGGTCATTATGACTCCTTAGATTTTACCTTAATCCAATGAATTAACCAATCGGTCTATCAGCTTGGCCCTGCCCTAGTCTATTATACGTTTTTTTTTGCTATTTTCTGTAACTTTCGTTGTTTCTTGTTATTATTGTTTCTCAGCTTCTTTATTACTTGTTTTTGTGTAGCTTCCCATGATCACACTGACTTCCTCTTTCCTATTATTCTGCATCCAAATGGCGCGTCGATGAAGGTTAGACATCCAGGTAATACGATACGCCAAAAAGCAGTTACTCAAGCAACTGGATATGATTTTGAAAACGTCACTGCATCCAAATGTTTTTCCTATCTCACCTATGTATACCTTATTGCAAGTCATGCGAGATATCTTGCAATTGAATACACAGTAATACACAGTCTGTCTTCACCGAGCCTTCCTAAGTTTGTCTTAGGATGCACCAGTTGGCTTTGTAGGGTAATTTAATTTAACAGGTGTGGGTTCACCTAAAACTGGTTTGGCAGCCAACGACGGTTTTGCTTCTAATGTTGTCTACAGTTCTGTACCTCCTATAGGGTTGAGTCACCCTTCTTTTTTACTTTTCCCCTTTTTCCTTTTTGTTTTCTTCTGTTTGTGGTTTGTTTACTGGTGTTCCACTTTCCGGAATGTCGAGAGGACATTGTCTCGGTCATGTTTAGGGCCGCATTATTCAAATTGACAATTGTCCTATTATGTTATGTGAAAATGTTTAACATTTGGTACCGCATATCTCACTATTGTTGTAACAATATCTGTTCTATGCATGTCGCAATTTGTATTTTGGACCACATTGTTAGCAAAATCAATATCTATGCATGTCGCAATTTGTATTTTGGACCACATTGTTAGCAAAATCAATATCTATGCATGTCGCAATTTGTATTTTGGACCACATTGTTAGCAAAAACAATATCTATGCATGTCGTAATTTGTATTTTGGACCATATTGTTAGCAAAAACAATATCTATGCATGTCGCAATTTGTATTTTGGACCATATTGTTAGCAAAAACAATATCTATGCATGTCGTAATTTGTATTTTGGACCACTTTGTTAGCAAAAACAATATCTATGCATGAAGCAAGTTTAAACTGTAATTTCCAGCACAAAAAGTGGAAATGAGGAAATGCTGTATTTTCCATATGAACTTATGTGTTGAAACTAAAGAAACAGATGTCTATATGTTTTCCTACAGCAAACATCCTGTTGATAACTCAGCGAAATAGCATACTAGAAATCCTGTCAGGAACACGACCCAACTTTGAAGCAGCCCGAGCGATGATTGGTGTTTACCTGCACATCTTACAAGACTTCTACAGCAACACTAACTGGATCGAGTTGGAGGGAGGGGTTCCGTATGAAGACCTGGGTATTTATCTTAACTTACATGTATACCAAGGTGTGGTTTAATGTAGAGCTAGAGAACGGTAGGCTGTCAATCAACTTGGCTTATTTGTATTCTGGGGTTATATCAGTCAGTTGATTTATGATCACGTGACTCTTAATTAGTGGCTCTAATGTTCCAGAAGCCAGACAACTTGTGAATTACCCTCTCCTTTCAGAAGAGGTTGTTTGGAGGTGTAATGACCCTATTACTCTGAATGAAATATCGAAGCCTCAAATATCGAATAGCCCAGAAATTATGTTTTAGTCGAACAGATGTGTTTCTGGAGTTTATGGTGTCATTTTATTTTTGTTTTTCTTTCATTGCGGCCAGTGTATAAATGTGTGTCTTATATTGGCGTTGTTCGGCCTGTCACCATCGCCTTTTTTAAAAGACAATACGTCACGTGAAGTGTAGACTAAAGTTGGCGATGCAGTGTTTAGAACAACCTGCAGACAGCCCTTTTGATATTGAGGTTGGCGATGGCGCGTCACCGTTAGCTAAACAGAGGCAGTCATAACTGATGTGTCGTAAAAAACGATGGATTCGCCCCTGGTTGATGCAAAGACCCGTGTATGAACAGTACGACTCACTGATGATGGAGTTATGTCAAGAACTTTATTTCGACTTTAACCCTTTCTGTGAAACCCAATATAACCACCTTCTCCTGAACATCTGGTGCACTGATAAGCACACGTGACGTCATAATCTAAGTTGGGAGCCCCACCAGTCTCCGTCCAGGTTCCGTACGGTACTGCCAAAAAAATAGCCCGCAAACCCGCCGCGCGGGCCCCCTTTTTTAATTGTGACCTAGGCTTAAGTCCAGGTCGCAATTTAAAATCGGGACCCGTGCGGCGCGTTGGCGGGCTGTTTTTTTGGCAGTACCGTACGGAACCTTGATTATGACGTGTGAAGATAAGTGCCTCGTGTGTTTAGAAGAAGGGTGTTATAGGGGCATTCGCAGAAAGAAAATAAAGTCGCAATTATATTTTCGACACAGCTTGCTCATTAGTGAGACATGTGTTCATCAGAGGTCTACACCGGGACAGTGGGAGCATTCTTTACATGCTAATTCTTCAGTTACAAACAGGCTTTCACTACTTTGACGCCATAGATCCGTTGGACTGGCCAAAAGAAATTCGTCATCTATATAAACACAGCCGTTATATTTTTGGGTAGGTATGTTGATATTTAACTAGTTTGCACAAGTCAAGTACCCAGGCGGGGTAACGATATCTCTCCTCCTTCTGACTCTGCAGGGTTACCAGACAAAGCTCTCCGACCGGTCGCCACGGACTCCGCCATTCCAACTTGCCAGGATTGCTCGTAAGTAATCTTTTATTGTCTTCGCCAGAAAGAACATGGAATTGTCTCGTCGGATTGTTGGTGTGGTCTTAGCCAGAAAGACCATGGAATTGTCTCGTCGGATTGTGGGTGACTACGGATTTAGCGGGATAACTCTTGAAGGCATGATTCGACGTCCATGATTTTTGGCAGGCAGATTAACGTTGTTAAGACCAAAGTGAAGTGCAAAAATGGGCTTCGTGAGGGGTCCGTACGTTACTGCAGTGGACCTTTTGTGTTTGTGGCTTGTGAGCAAAATAACTCAAGTATATCCTAAAAAATCTTAATGATTTTTGGCAGGGAAGCTACCATTGTAGAGGCCATGTTCAAGTTCGAATACGGGCTTCAGGGGGAACCTATGTTGCTGCAGTGGACCTTTTGTGTTAGATATATAACGATATTTCCCCAGCAACCTCTGCTCTGATTCAGATGGGCGACAGCTGTTCCCACCATCCGGGATCAATTTCTAACAATTCAGGGGCTGTCCCATAAGTACTTTGAGGGGAGGAAAACCTGGGCATGCGTCAGGGCATTCCTTAAATTGTAAGGCCAGGCCAAGTAATTTCCATGCATGGATGGCGCCAACTGGAGACCTTAAATTTATTGTAAAAGCGCGACAAAATACATGAAGGGCCAAAGAAACTGATTAAGATGCATACATTTGGAAAATACTAACTTTGGAAATACAAAGGTTAGGACATACATTGAATAAAAGAACAAAGTGTAATAACAAACGGAAACAGCACTAAATCTCGCCCTGTTCTGATTCTTTCCTTTCATCATATCTTCTCTTATTACATTTTGCGACACTGTCGTGACACTCTGATCATATTACACTAAGCAGAATTTTTGATAACAGATATCAATTTTTTTCCAGTAACATTCCAAAATCAAATAACTTAGGGGGGCCTAAAACGGTGACAGTGCGTCTGTAAATCTGTGGCAAACCCCTTTGGGGTGTTCCGTAGAATAAAAAGAAAAGAAGAAAAAGAGGTGTACAGAGATTCTTTTGTACTCTAGACCGAATTGATTTCTAGTATAAAAAACGTCCGTTTATCTAGAACATTTTCTCTCTGACGAAGGCATGAGATCTCCGACCTCTAGTTATAATACTGTGACATCACCATAACCTCACCACGAAAGGTAGCGGGCAGGCATGTTATACGTTATTATGAATATTGTATTAGATAAGACTAGCGTTCCACCACTTCATACATAATTATGCAATGATCATGCAAATAAGATCATTTGCATGAATTATCTCAGATTATCATGTTCTACACCCTAGGGCCAATTCAATCTTATATATAAAAAAAAGAAGGCCATCCCAGCATGTCTTCATAAATCTTGCAGATCGGGCGCAAATTTGAATAAGATATGTTTATTGATATTCACGTTCACTTAACTTTCAAATTATTTATAGAATCCGTATTTATTATGCAAGTTATATCATTGTCTTTGCATAATTTGTATTGCATCGTACTTATCTGTGTATGTAAGCTACCTAAAACCAAAAAATGAAAGTTAGTTGCTTCTGTCGTCAATTATCCTCTTCGAAAAATTCTAACAAAAGCGCCCCTGCAGTTCTAAAATTTAATGCTAGGTCGCTTTTTTTGTCTTCCCGAGAAGAAGTGATATCCAATACCAAACAAAAATCATAACCTGTTCTAATAACAAGATATGAGATCCAGAGGGTTCGCTGCAGTACCAAGGGAAGCCACAAGGTAGCCCAAAAATGTTATCTTTTCTAGTTTCCGGCACACCCTACCAACGCAATATGTAAGAAACCATTTCATTCAGCCGTTCTTGAGTCATCTTGTTTACAAACAGAATGATAGACAGAATGACAAACCCTACTGAAAATATAACATTCTATTCTCAACAGATTGTAACAGATACCAAAGATAATAATAAAATATGTGAGCCATTATTGCATAATAAGTAGAATTTTAAGATTCATTTTTTATTTCTAATTTTTAGTTACTTTAAGTTTTTAAACGTACTTCATGTTACGAATGTTGCTGTTCTTTTTCCTGTGTCCATAAAGCTTATATTATAAATAGTCCCCTAAAGTCCTTGGAATACATGAGATGTGAAATTGTGGAGTCGAAAGGCGCACCTTAAAATTAATTATTGGCATCCTTCTGTCTCGTACATAATAATGATAATAGCCATGTCCTGATAAATTTACATACAACACATCGATTCAGACATCATCATTCATTCTTTTTGCTTGCGGTCTACAACAGATATGATTTTTAACTTTAAAACCCAGACAGTCCCAGTCAAACTGCATCTCAAGGACGTTATTTCAAATCTAACGAACTTACAGAATTCTATTGCACGACAATTGTAGCAGGTGGGCAGCGCATTGCAACTTCAACATAGTTGAACTATCACTAATAGCTAACAATTCTATGAAGCTAACACTGAATAAACTGAATTATGTTAATTATCTTCACTTCACTCTAACGGCACAAGGAGGCGGACTTTCCTTGGCAAACTTTAATGTTGTATAGAATCCGGGTGGGACGGTGGGTGGGTGGGTTTGTGAAAGATCTGCTCAGCTCAGGGGTTCCAACACCCACCGCTACTCGTGAGGTCCATACAACAGGGTCACGTGAGGTCGGGCATGTAATTAAATGATTATGCTAATACTATACCTATCTTAATTCTCTAATAATGTATAACTGCATTTCGGATTTCTGTTAACGTTATTTTCATTTCCCCCAGGCCCAGTCGAGTCCTTGTTTGTCAAGATAACATCCTATTGCAACATCTTTTGACAAGTGGATACAAGAGTGGGCAAAGTAAAGCAAAACCACCTGGTAAATCATTTTTTTTACATTCATTGGTGTTCTTTTTCTATTTTTTCTTTTTGAGTATCACAATCTAGACATTCAAATTAATGAAGCAAGTCACTTACAGACTTTCAAAACCTATTACTTGATAGTGTCTGCTTTTTATTACTAAAGTGCACATGGCATGTGGACTTTGAGCTCAAGAAAGAATCCTTGCGGAATTTGTCTGTACTATTATAATAATCTCTTCTGCAATAATCCCTGTACTTTAAGGCATTGCACTGAATATGGCTGCATTTGTTCTATTTTCTAGCTATCTCTGAAACTACAGGCAAGTGCAGTCATGGCGGTTTGATGGATGACTCTAGACTTACAGTCCCGACTGGAGGAATCAACAAGGAGACGAGTGTTCCCAGTCTGTCTCCCCACCACTATCTTCATGAGCAGGCCAAACAGGCAGCCATTCAGGCAACAACAAACTTCTTCATTGCACCAGGTGATAAGTATTTATTACTGTTCCAATGTATGGTTTTCTTGTTAAATATATTTGTGTTTTTATGTAAGATTTTGTACCCAAAGACTCGTGAAGTTATTGTTTAATCTGTATTACTGATTGTACTGTACGTATAGGTATTGCCTTAACCCTTTCTAGACCGGGCTTTTTTGGGCTTGGTGGGACCGGCTCATTCGACCCCCCCTCAGAACTCGATAACGGTATGTTGTATGACCACCAAATTTTTAGAGGATGGTGTACTAATAAAAATTTGTCATATCTATAATTTTTATGTCATTACAATGTAATATGACGTCATTATGACGTAATTTATGTGATTTTATTGGCCAAAACCATCTAGGTAAGTTATTTCCTGAAAACTAAATGGTATAAAAATAACTTTACCAAAAGTGATTATGGCAGAATATTAGTGTGTACCAAGGAGGTTAACCTCCTTGTGTGTACTAAGTCTTATGATGCCCATAGCAACACCGGTGACATCATAAAATGATGCATATCAAGCCAGCCGCCATCTTGGATCATCAATCAATTTTCAAAAATATTTTTTTCAGGATAAAGCCTTAAATACATTGTAAACAGAATAAAGACGTTCATTTGAACCTTCTTTGTGAAAAGAAATAGAAGTATGGATGAAATTTTAAGGAAGATAACCTGTATATACCTGTTCTAATGATATGGTCCGCCATCTTGGATGTTGACGTCATCAAATTAGCATAAATTATGTATTTTTGATGATAAAATTTATATAAAGCTATATGGGATGTTATCAATATTAGAAACCATGTGTAACTTAACATAAAACCCATAAAATTCTATTGCTGAAACGAAAAATTTTTTAATTTTGCAAAAATTGCTTGAAGGCCAAGCCACCATGCATTTGGACCAATGGCAGTAGGAGACTCAAACAAACATGTTACCTGGAAGAAATACTAACGACAACAAAGTACTGGTATTAAAAAGTTTTTAAAATTCCGGGGTCAGTTTTGACTGGGCCACGCACAAACTCTTTATGATAACTCAACAAAAAATGTTCTAATCTCAGTAAAAACGTATGCGAAGTTATAAGACATATATACAAACAAAGTCATAGAAGGAATATTCTTTTTCGACTAGAAATGACAAAATGGCACATATTTATATACGCCCGGGTACAGTTTTGATCCCAAACGGTGGTTTGAGGCATAAGTATTCCGTACTTTCTTCTTGTGCCAAGTTTATATCTAAACATGACATACAGTTCTTTAGAGCATTTTTGTTCAATAAAACTGCCTGTATTGTTTATTTACCAATGTGTTTTTATGCTCAGTACAAGGCTAACTACTTTCCATACCATTTTACAGGTTATGGCCTACTGTCACAAATTGGTGATGACAAGTTCAAGGAGGTCCTGAACCTTGGATCAGGAAACTCTATGGTTTTTGTAATTGACGTGTCGGGCAGCATGTCGGATGACGTTGCAGCAGTTCGTCAAGAATCGATTCAGCTAGTACAAAGCACCTTGGGCACAGCTACTGCACCGTACAACTATATCCTGTCTACTTTCAGCGATCCCGGTATGTCATATCCATTTATAAGTTGTTATAAACCTTGTGTTTGCTTCCCCCTCGATAAGGTGTATTCAGTCACGTGACCCTTCCCGTAGCTATAGTCACTTGTACATAATTTGAGCTGGCGTACGAAGGAGCTAGCCAGCCCTCACGAAAACAAGTTAAACAACAGATTAAGCATTATTGGGCACGTGTAACGTCACACTGGCTATGTGTGTCCTACAGAAACCTCAACCAGCCGTATAGCCGCGACATTTCAATCAATGGTCGCCGCTCAAAACAGAATTTTTCCGATCACATCGTACTTGTCAACTAAATCTTCCTACTTAATATCCAGTAACTGCGTCGTTGTAGGCCTTGAGACACATAAGCCTTAAACTAATCTTGTTCGTTTCCAGAACCAAATACACGTAAAGAGACAAAATCAATGGAAAATCAAAATCAATGTCATTTCCATTCATTTCATTTTATCAGTTGATCATATTCCCCATCCTGTGACAGTCTCATACTAACAAAAGAGCCTAATGTATTTAGGCATTTCCTCATACATTATGCAAACGAATTCCTGATATGAATACGTTAACTTAAATTATGTTTACTTTCACCAAACTTCCAAACCCTACAAGTTTGAAATTGCTGGCAGTCATCTCTATGGTATTTTAGCATTACCGAATTATACCACCCAAAATACACACCTGCTTGGAGATTAACCTAGATGAAAGACATCAACTGCACTTCCAAATTTCAATACAAAATGGCCCGACTGCATTTTTGCAATCCAAACTTGCACAACTTAATCTTCCCCGAAATTTATCCTACATACAAAGTCTAGACTTCTCTTCCAGACTTTGAACTGGTAATAAACAACACACAAGCATCATTGAAGTGACGTAAGAACGCGCCACAAGATAATTTTTACCTCCATGAAAAATGGAGGTATTGCTTTTGGTGTGTCTGTGTGTGTGTGTTTGTGTTTCCGCACATTTGTAGTCAGCATAACTTCATAACGCCTTTATGGATTGTGATGATATTTGGTATGCTGGTATAGGAAAACAAAGGTCAAGGTCAAATATGGCCCTCCTGGTGGATGACCTTGGTACTGCAGCCACCATTTCCAAAGCGATCACTTAGCCTTCTGACGAAGGCAAACATCTATGGTAGTTACTAGACTAAGTATATTAAAAACCATCATATTTAGAACGGCTAAGAGTTTTGACTACATAAAGGCAGGTTCTTAGTATATGTATCCGATTTGTTTGATATTTAATGTGGCTATATGCACTCAAAGCGCACAAAAACATTGAAATTGTATCAATGTTCCAGAAAGGTACTATTTTTAGGTTTTCCCTTGTGAATATGTGTATTTTTGTTGTCCTCTCTCTTCTATGCCATATTGTATTTGATATCTTGTGCAACTACAATCAGTTATGATAAATTACAGATATTTTTATATACAACACAAGTTACTGTAGCTAATAGATAGATCTTAACATATTCCCAGTTGTTTGGGTAACTGTTTTGTTCGGTATATAATTATCTGGAAGTCTAACATTTATCGGCTTATATGACCAACTTTTTCTTTACTTCAGAGGACCTTGGACAAGTACGTACAACAAAAGATCCAGACGAGATGATTACCTGGCTATACGCGCTAACAGTGCACGGTGGAGGAGACTGTCCTGAGTACTGTTTTTCTGGAATTGAACAGGCCCTGCTCATCTGTTTGCCAGAGTCTCACCTATTCATCTTTACGGACGCGGATCCAAAAGACACAGAAAAGTACGACAACATTGCGGCACTGATGGGCGAAAAGCAAGCTAGGCTCAACTTTCTATTGACAGGCTCATGCACCAGTCGCAACTTACTTGATGAACAGAAACAAGGCTACTATAAAGGTAATTTAGGCATACTCTATGTGCTTTTGTTTGCCTGATTATAAGATCTTAACTAAAAAGGCAGCCATTAGCCCATGAGCAAATACATCTTCAATCCGTCTCCCTCTCCATGAATATTGACTGTTCCGAAATCACGCCTGCACAAAAGAAGAAAAATTTTGTGTTCTATTGTGAACTATTAAAATGGACTCTTCCAAAAACCTCCCCTCCAACGCGTTCACACTTTCCTAATCTGCCCAATCAGTCAAAAATTAAATTTTACCAAAAATATTTCCCCTACTCGGGAATGGACTCTTCATCGGTCATATGTATATGTAATGTTATAGACCAGTCCGAACAAAAAGTTCCACACAAAATATGGACTTTTTGCATAATGATCTCTGCTCAATATCGAATGTGCTCCCTACAGACTGGACTCTTTCAGCGACCCTCATATTATGTCATGATCTAGTTCATAATCATAACCACGGAACTATCTGCCTGGATATGTAGCTAGGTCGTGAAACTGAGCAGAGAGATCAGAAAGCATATGCGACGGCCCTACTGGAGATGCACTGAAAACCCATCCTCTCCCACTAGCACAGAAGAGGGATTCAGACCCAGAAGATATTCTGTACCTACATGAAAAACCAAGGCTCCACTACCACAAGTGTTCCTGCCCAGTCGTCAACGGGAAGCTCGTCACCGACCCCAAACAGAAGGCCTTTTACTGAGCAAACCTCTACACTGCGTTCAACGAAGGCGCCACCTACACATTATCACAATTCAAAGATCGCTGGTCGCTGCCTACCTCCCGCGACGACTTCCCCTCCATTGACGACATGGAGATCAGTGCCGGTGGCATTGAGAAGATCCTGGCCAGTTTGAACCCCACAAAAGCAGCAGATCCAGATGACACCACCCAACGCGTGTGTAAAGAAGTTTCCCCCATCATCACCACAATCTACCAGTCATCACTACGCACAGGCCAAGTACCCCCAAAGCACCAAGTAAAGCTGATACCTTCGATGTTCAAAAAGGTAGAACACTACAAGGCGTCCAATTACCGCCCTATCTCCCTCATGATAGCCATAGCCCTCCAGACATAGCCAGGAACACGTCATAGTCAGTGCCATTATGCGTCACTCGAATTGAACAACATCTTGTCCACACAACAACACGGCTTGGCCATTGAGAGAGTTGTTGGGACTGATGTAATCATCATGGACTTTCAAAAAGCCTTCGATCGAGTGAGCCATAGCCTTCTCGTACACGAATTGGACCATTATTGGATACGATGGCACACTAACAAGTGGATAGTGAATTTCTTCAGCCACTTTGGCATGCAGTTCGTAGTAGTAAACGGTCAAGCTATGTGAATGTGAGGTCAGGTGTCCCACAGAGCATGGTGCTGGCGCCGTGTTTCTTCATCACCTACATCAATGACATCCCGCAAAGGATCCCCCTCACCTCCCGTCCAAATTGCAAGAGCACCTCGACACGCTGGAAGACTATAGGAGAGAGAATCCAAGCAAGTGCTGTCAGCTGACCTTGACGCGCGACAGTAACCCACTAAATCGTAACGCTTCACCAACTTTAGTGAACCTCTCTCCAAGACCGACGTCGCTACTAATCATGATGTACAAGATCCAGCATGACTTTGCATGTTTGAGATGCGATTGAGTCTTGACGCCCCTGCCTGGCAGCAACAGAAGCCGGAGAGACCACAGTCAGCAGTTTCAGCACAGTACCTGTCGCACAAACTACCGGTTGAATTTCTTTTCCCCCGTTTCATTTGGGACTGGAACGCCCTGTCAGAAGAAACTCATGATCAAATCCCCTTCCCTGGCCACCTTCGTTTCTAAAGTGTCAAACCTCGCCTAGTCCCAAGCCCCGCTGGTGCCCTTCGACCTAACATTCGACCCGTCAAATGTCAGTTATTGCAGAAGCATTCGCGGTTGGACATTGCCTGAAGAAGAAGAATAATGTCTGTTGGTATATATCTAAGACACACCCTTACCAACTTTCAGATCATTTGGATTTAACAACAAGACTTCAGAGCCCAAAATATCAATTGTTTGTCTGAAAAGAGACATATGTTTTGTTTTGTTTTATGTTTATGTTATGTTTTTATCTATACCTATAGTATGAAGAAAAACATAAACACTCTTGTCTAACATGTGTTTTGTTTTATTCTTTTGGTAACAATATTGTTACCCTTGTGTTAAGTAAATAGATCGCTGGTAAGCTGCATTATCTTCACTCTATATTTCGCAGATTATATCCAAGGACATTTTTTCACGCTATAGGTCCATAGGATTATGGTATGTGCAACTCGGCAGACCGCAACCACTTTTTACCCCCACAGCTACCTCCCATACTGCCAAGAGACGAAGCAACAGAAACTGGTACGAACAACTCGCCGAGCAGTCCGGTGGATCTGTCTACGAAGGTGACAAAGAAGACATTGCCGAGCTGACGGGTGTCATCAGCGTTGCCCTGTCTAACTCCGCTCCTGTGACCCTCTACAAGGCCAGTCTGCCGGCGGGAAGCGGCAGGGTTGTGCCGGTAGAGGTCGACAGTGCTCTCCTGGAGCTGGCCATCTCTTTAGTAGCTGCAAACAGCGCACCGGACGTTGTAATAGAAACTCCTAATGGTAAGTTTAATTTCGTTTACATTATGCATGATGTTGTTTGAACTGTTTGTGTCACTAAATACAACTGGAAAATTAATGTATACATTATTAGTAACAATGAAAAAAATGATAACGCTATTTTAGCACAAGGAATTTTCCACAGCACTGAAAATCAGAAAAATGAATGCGGATAATTTGTGCTTGGATGCAAAATTCAAATTAAGCTTAATGTGGCGTCGGGTAGCGTAGTGATAGAGCGTTCGACTATGAAGCAACGAGACCTGGATTCGATCCTGAGTTGTACCCGGTACATGTCTGAACATGCGCCCCAACGTTGTGCCCTTGGGAAAGGCACTTTACACGACTTTCCTCACTTCACCCAGGTATGAATGCATACCTAATTTTTGTTGGGGAATGTCGTATTGAGGTAACCTGGTGACGCCGGATGGCAGCAGCACAGACCCTACAAGAATTAACGCGATCGTTTCGTTTATTGTACAACAGACTGTTTCAAACAAAGTAGCAAAATACCTAGAATTGGGTTATTGCGCAAAATTTGTTGTTGTTGGATATTCTAGGTACGCCCCAGGCATTTGGGACACCGTTGGCCGAAATTGCTGTTGACGTAGGAGCTAACAGAGTGTACCAAATCAAAACTCCGTCTCCAGGCACTTGGCGACTTCGACTAAGAGGTACTTTGAGAATTTAACTACATGTTTCCTAAGATAACAATAACAAAAACGAATGCCCCCTAAAACGTTGTCCAGAAAACTAGATAATGTTCATATCGTGTGTATAATAATCAACTTTGCAATATGCACTGTTTATTTCCTAGTACAACGAATTTGCTGAAGACGTGAAATATTGCAATAAATTATTTCAACACACTGTGCAAAGGACTGTAATACCTTGATTCTATTCCTATTGTGGTTCATGTGGTTACAGATTCACAGCATTACATGTTGGAGGTTACGGGAAAGAGCATTGTGGACTTCTCGTACCAGTTTATGAGGACAACAACCAATGGCATCTTACTGCCCATTGATGGAAGACCTGTTGCAGGTGATTCACTGAATTAATTACTCATTCATTCATCCACTTACTCACTCACTTACTCAGCCACTCACTCATTCATTCATTCATTCATTCATTCATTCATTCATTCACTCACTGTGTGACAACTAATGATGTTGTTAGTGGAGGAAAATACAATTGCTCTTTTCTGAGCTGGTATTAGGTACTTAGTATACCTAGTTGGTACGTCCACCAGTTTCTTAGTCGGTATGTACTCCCCGTATAGGGAGTAGTAATTACACACCATCTGTTTAACAGGGGTAAATACAACTATCATTGTGGATGTTCTCGGCTCAGAGAATGTCCAGCAGCTGACCAGAATTTCACTACTAAACGAGGCAGGTGACGGGCTGGTGTCGTCTCCAATGGCATCCGTTGGTGGCCTTCTTGGGGCCAAGTATTCTGCAGTTGTTGTCATGCCAACAGAGGTAAATGTCAGAGATAGGGGAATTCTTTTTACACAACCAAAGAGTCTCACCTCGCTGACGCTTCGGTGTCTGTCAGACACCTTCTTCAGAGCTTCTGACTGGAGTACTGCATCTCGCCGCTATATGTAGCCGATGTAGATGCAGTACTCCAGTCAGAAGCTCTGAAGAAGGTGTCTGACAGACACCGAAACGTCAGCGAGGTGAGACTCTTTGGTTGTGTAAAAAGAATTCCCCTATCTCTTAAGTTTTACCAACCTGATGAAACTATTTTCGGAAAAAAGAGGTAAATGTCATTTAATTTTAAACTGCTATTTTGTCTGGTTATAGTAACGTCATAATAACACAATGACAAAGAGAGGGGAATCTAGCATTACGATAGTCATGGCAGAACACAACAATTGTCATTGTGTCATGAATTCACCTTATCTTTTTCCCCAGAAATTTCGGGTGAAGATTGAAGGCAGCGACTTAAGCAACAATGTGTTTCAGCGTGTTCAGCCTACTGTCATCCAGCCGCAAAGTTTTAATTTGGCTTTGGTGGGCGAAAAAGGTACTGTCATTTTCCTTAGCTATACGCTGACGATAGGCCGAGGTGCGTGTGACGCAAAATACTGAGACGATTATCGCAAAAACACAATGCAGTAGATCTCACCACAAGTATGCTAGAGGCCAAAAAAGGCAGAAATACGGATGATAAAAATATTCACTGTTATTAAGAATAATAATGTTTAAACATATTATGACATCCAAGCGCTATGATATAAATGAAAAAATGTGTAAATGTGTTCATACATGTTTCAAAAAGAGAGAAGAGATCCTGTAGTTAGATCCTGTAGATAGAGAAATAGCACACGAGTGTAACAATTGCTTCTTCTATTCTTGTTACCAACTTATTTAACTTATAAGTGCATTTGGCCCATGTAGGGCGTGAACATATGCAAGAAAGTTCATTGTCATTGTCATTGTTATTGAGTTAGGAATGGGTACTGGAAAGTCTTCTGGCACTCAAAAACGTATATTTGCACCAGGCACGGTTCTGGATACACATGGACTATGCCAATGAAAAGTAACATACGAGCTAATCTTCAGGTTTGACCTATTCCATGTCAATGATTCTTTCAACGCATATATTTTCAGGTTAGATTAGATAAATCAGTATGTCATCTACATTATTTGATTAATATATAAGTATCTTAATGTCACATCTCCATTCCAGAGCCACTATTTGCTGGAAGCACTGCGGACGTGCATTTTCTGCTTGTGAACCACGGAGCCCGAAGTACGTTTTCTCTAGCAGCAACAGACGACGCATCGATGGTCCAGTCAGTATCACCTACGTCAATCACACTACAGGAGAATGCCAACACGACTGGGTACATCAGATTTTCAGCTTCAAGCACAGCGGTCGCTGGTACAACAAGGTATAGATATCTGTCATTTTATCAAGCACATCACACAACAACATAGTATTACTATTATCACAAAAGAGTGTTTCGTGTACATTGCTAACAAGTTATTGCTATGTGCACCTTTTTTTAGGTATATCTATACGATGGTGATATCAATTATCTAGAAGAGCGTAGTAAATTGTAATAAACACACCAAAGCTTACCATAGGTACTTTTATATAAATATTAAAATTTACAACATAAAATACTAATTGTCATATTGGATTGATTGGCTAAATGTTTGATCTGGTTATAAGGGTTGTTAATGACTAAGGAGGAATAAACTGGGGTTTGTCCCCAAATGTAAGCATCGACCTAACTTTTCACATTATCTATTATGGCATAACCCCCCCAACTTGTCTGACAAGGCTAGGCGGATACCCATAGTGTTGTGAATCGGTCTCCCTAAACGGTCTGGGCATGGTCGATGGTATTTTTTATAGCCTCACCACATGTGAGACCAATGTACACAACGTAGTGCCAGTGGTGATGTTATCGCTTCCTTACTAATACAAAGTGGGCACTGGTTGATCAACGTATTCTGACTATATTTAAAGTTAGTGGTGATATCAACAAGGATATGAGTACATTGGTTGTGTACAACCAAGGGCATTATACATAATGTCCTTCTTACAACAAATTTAAGTGAACCAGTTTTTTTTCATATCTTTACTTTTAGTACCACAACATTAACTGTGAGAGGACCGGGAGGTTCGTCCAACTCACTGGTAGCCAGAGTAACGGTACAACCTCAAATTGTAGTGGTAAGTATGATTAAGTCTTCTTCATTTAATGGCTATACATTTATACGGTGCATATTCGAGTTTAATGGTTTTATTTATATCAAATTCTTATCTAGTATGGGAAATATGTTTAAATTGTAATTTTAATACACGCACAGAAATGATTACCCAAATTTAGACTGTTGAACTGTCAAACAACTTTAAATCTTTGTAAAAATCTTTGTAAATAAATCTAAAAAATGAGGTTTAAGAATAAATCTATGGGTAAGTCCAATTGTTTATGTAGGATTATTTTGGCTTAAGAAACTAAAAGGTTTCGGATTTTAGCTACACCCATGATCCTTGCGAAATTAAGTTACTGCATAGACATCCAACTCTAGAGCCTTGGTGTTAGCCAGCATTCTTTCGAACCCATCCATGTTCGATCTAACGTAATTACAACCGAACTTGCGTTCGATTTTTTGGTCACTAGCGGTCCTTTACATTAATCCCACGTCTTTTTGACATAGGTATCACCTAACAGGAAAAACTTACCTTTTCACAAATAAACCGATTTCTGACAAGAACATACAATGTATAGTTGGTACTTGGTAGTGGATATGTATAATGTACCGAATATACTTCCATCATCGTGAATGACCTTGCAAATCGTGATTCATGTTTACCTAGATGTACATTGCCCCGTCCTTCTATCCACGCGGCTTGACTTGCGTGCAAACTTAGTATTTCAATACCAACAAAGCAAATTCAATTTACCTCAAAACTTTATAAATTGATGACAAGACAAAAAGCCCGGTCTGTGTCGGATGTTTTTTTGTCAACGGGACTGTGGAGTTATCGATCTTGCACTTCATCTTTGAAATTAAAGAAAAATGTCCGACCGAAATATCAATTTTGTCATCAAGATTTATGAGATGCAAAAATTAAGGATTTTCTGGGAAATCTGGGACCGGTTTAAATCAGTTCTTTATATTATGTAAAGACCCTTTATATTATCTAAAAATTCAACCAGCCTCATGTGTTTGTGCTTCAATGTGGTGATAGCGTGTACTATTTTTTCTAAAAAAAAAAAAAAAAAAAAAAAACTATTATTAACTTTCAAGCTAGTTTAAGTCGATGGTTTCATGCTATTTCAATGGTCATGTCAATTTTTTTAGCCTGTGGACAACGTCAAGCCAACGTGTACGCAAGTATCGGCTACTGGTAGCTGCACCCTTGAACAACAACATCCATCTACCTGTGTCAGCCATCTTTGGTCCATAGAGGTCCACGTTAGGGACGAAGAATCTGGTGTTTACAGCCTCATTGCCTCACCCGAGGGGAGCGGGATTACCTTTACCCACTCTCCGTTCAGTCCAGGAACTGTTGGGACGAGCATCGCAGCTACATACAGGTCTGCAGCTATTAACAGAAATGTGCTTGTTTATAATATAAGCGCCTTTGTTTATTTATTGAAAACTCAAACCTCCTTGTTGGCCGCTTTTTTTATTGACGTCAAAAGGGAAGAGGTCAGGTTCACACAAAATAGTAGTCTCCACCAGACTACTTTGCAGGCTGAATAAAAAGTATAGCTGTTGGTAAGAGAAATTAGTATTAAGATATATGACGTGGAATTTGGCACAAGCATGAACTCCTGCAATGTCTATATAGGGTAAGAAAAAAGTACGCTTAAAACATTAAAAAAAATAGTGCTATAATGTGCCATTTTAAACATGGTCCTTTGACGTTTCCTCAACATAGTTCCAACTGCTGCAATCCAAGAGGAACCATTACTGTCGCAGACAAGCAGGGGAACGTTGCCCAGTGTACGGTGGACTACTACATCCCAACAACAGCCCCTCCACCAACGACATTCCCACCAACGACTACCGCTCTCACATCAACGACGACATCTACCCCGGTGACACCACCACCACCAACAACAACGACATCTACCCCCGTGACAACCACAACAACAACGACATCTACCCCTGTGACAACCACAACAACAACGACATCTACCCCCGTGACAACCACAACAACGACGACATCTACCCCCATGACACCCACAACAACGGCATCTACCCCCATGACACTCACAACAACAACGGCATCTACCCCCATGACACTCACAACAACGACGACGTCTACCCCCATGACACCCACAACAACAACGACATCTACCCCCATGACACCCACAACAACAACAACTACCCCCATGACATCGGCAACAACGACATCTACCCCGGTGACACCGACGACATCTACCCCCGTGACACCACCAACAACGACGACATCTACACCCATGACACCAACAACAACGACGACACACGCAACAATGGTCCCTCCTACAACTACGACAAAAACGATACCTGCCGTTATAGAAGGAGATTCACCGGTAAGGGAAAATACTTTTCCCATTTCCAACATAGGTCCTATCCGGATATCCCCATAGATAAATACAACCAACTTTCGCAACGAAGGACTACAAATATAGAAAAAAACATACACGCACACTCAAGTCTATTCGGAAACAGCAACAATTATTTAAAGATTGCACCCAAAATACATTTTACTATGAGGGAAATATGCACGTTATTGTGAATCTAACATAGTCCCTTCGATGAGGCTTCAACATCATATCATCCTGGTCATCTGCTTTCTCTATTAAAATATTTCCTTCATTTTACAGGATGACGAGTACTTGGGAACATCTCAAGTTGCACTGTTGGTGTCTGCCGCAGTAGTTGGTGTGGGATTATTGACTGGGCTCGGTCTCACCCTTTTTTGTATGAAAAAGCCCACTATCAAACCCTCTCCGGATCCTACGAACTGGTGAGAATTGACCCTGACATGCGCTCTTCCTGGTGTTTTGCATTTGTTTGACGGCTAGTTTTACTCTTTTCAGAGCTATTTATTTTTGTGCTTAAATTATGGCAACGACACAATAATGCCAAACCAGGTTTTTATAATGACTGCCATTTAAAGTTGAGACTTTATTTTTAATTCCGTATTATGAATCTGAATGTAGATATATGTACTTGTACTTTGTATGTAGTTTATTTATTAGCCCTAGAGGATTAGCCCCTTTTAAAAGGGGCTAAAGGGCGCAAGTGTTGAAAATGCCGTTATGACTGCCGTTATGACTTGTTTACACAGCTTGTATTATTAACTTGTATCTGCTTGATAGTCACCCCCGATACAGCTTTCCCCCGATACAGCTCCCCCGGCCTAATAGAAACAAAAAACAGCCCACTGGAAACGTCTTTAGCGGCTACGATTTATATGCGGGCTTTTCTTTTGATTAAGCAATAATCTATCTAAGACAAAGGGTATCAAAATTAAAAAAAAAAATGCGAAGCAACCATCATGACATATTTCACGTCATACAAGTGACTTAAGCATGGCACCCAATCAAAATATGTCGACCGATATCGGGTCCCCATTCGTACCAGGCAAGGCAGTATTCAATTGGCCGGGTGGTAACCATTTGCCACTGATAATGTTGTGAAATATTCCTAAATGTTCTGATGTTCTATAATCAGTTCTGAGTCTAAAGTGATAACGTATAATTTACTTTTATCATGTGGAGAATCTGCTGTCAGAATCTCATTTGGTTATTACCACGTAAGTTTGCAATAAATAAACCAAGTGTAATGAAATTTTAGGGTGTGTGTTTTTCTTTCTGTTGTCTAGTTGCTGAGTAGAAAAGCATTACAAGTGAACAAGAGAAAACATGCATGCATAAAGTAAGTATACAAGTGAGACAGACAAAGAGAGATGAAACTACCTTGCTTGTCTATAGTTTAGGTTCTATATCTACGCTACTAATGTGGAGTTTGATTTTTTCTTTGGATGCAGTAGAAAATGAAATGTCCCAATGAATAGGTGTGCTCGGTGATTTTAATAGGAACTAGAAAGGCCAATATTTGCTTAGGAGCAAATACAGCGATGGCTTCACCACATTTTACGACATGGTAGGGAAAGAATGAGAAACACAAGGGAAAACAATGATTTACATTCAATTTGATATAACTATAATATGAAGTAACATACAACTAAAACAACAGTTGGATAGCTATTCCCTACATTATTGGTTAGGATTTTTAATTGCATAATGCAAACTGTTGATTTTCAAAATAAAAAAAAAAACGTTACTAATGCCCCGCATTCCAATGCTGGAGCA